TGAAGAATAATTTATCGGGGGTATTCTGCTGTCAGAATTATTCGAAAGGACTGAAACAAATGATGAGATTGAATTAAATAATAAGATCGGATGGAGGAAAAAGATATAAATTGGAATTAAATAATAAGACCGAATGGAGGAAAAAGATTGAAATACCGTGGATCTGTAAAATGACCAAAATACCCCTGTAATGGAAATGACTCAAGAATGTCACCAAGCTCATGAATGATTAGATATCCTCGAGCTCTGAAATGAATGGAATAAAACTGAACATCAAAATTACCAAAATACCTTTATGGCCTAAATTAAGTAAATGTCTTGGATTAATTAAGGAATCCAAGTAAGCATAGGTATTGGACTACCTTTAAAGGTAATGAAAAATAATTTAAGTGAGTAGATCAACCCTAAAGCTATATCAATACCTGAATGACATAGATATTACTGGAACATGTGTTCGTCTTCTCAAGTTTGGCTCGATGACAAGTTTTGGAAGTATTCAGTTCAGATCAGATCTAGATTGTATTCAGTACTAGGAATTGGACGTTTGTTCGACAAATCAACCACGAAGACCAAATTGAATGGAACGGAAGTGCAACATGTGTCTGAAATTTAGGAACGCTTGAATTACTCTGAAAAAAATCCCGAAGTAACTGGAATGGATATGACTGTTAAATAAACTAGGTAACCTCAATGACTGAGGATTAAGTAAGTGGATTGGATAAGTCTGGAAATTCTTATGAGTTTATAAGATGTAATGTCCTTATGGAACATGAACTAAAAATCAAGCATGTCAGTATGTCATGATATCGTGGAAGCTTGGAAACGAAATAAAGACCATTGGAAGATCTATTCAGCGATGATTCTGAAGATGATCTATGGACAAGAATTTGTGGTATTAACGAGTAAATACCCTGAAAGGAAAATGAATTGACCAGTCGACATAGATTATTAAGATTCTGAATCTTCGTTCTCAAGATTGTTCGATTATCCGATCAATTGACATGGATGTAAAGGATTTTGAATACCCTTCTAATTACATACAACTTCTGAAAACTGTCCAAATAAGATATGATCCTGATAATTCACATTCTGAATAACTGATGATTCTGTCAGTTATTGAACTTTTCCAATAGTATTTCTAACGTCCGGTATTTTATCGGTATACTGAAAATCCGTGTTTCTCTGCCTGCTAAGATTATTTAGCATCTCTGAATAATATCTGTAAACTCTGGTGTGTTCCCTAATCATATAAATATTTTATCTGATTTTCGACTTGAATTCTGTTTTGATAAATGACCTGAATTCTGTTCTGATTTCTGATCTGGATTCTGTTCTGAATTCTGTTTTGATTTCTGATATCTTCGTTTAATGACGGAAAAATGTTTTAATTGGGGGGTATTGTTGAAGGAAGAATTTCCGCAGGTACCTCGACTTTATGCTCAGGGCCTTATATGTTGTGTTGGGTTGGGTGTATGGTTCTGGGGAACCTACACATTATGTTGTGATGGGATGGGGGTATATATATATATATATATATGTTTTAAAAAGATCTGAAAAGTTACATGGTTTTTGGGAACACACTAGAAAACCTATTATGATCTCCTCAACTCAGTCATCCGAAATATTTCTCTGAACTGAAAGCTCATTGTCCGTTATCACCCGAAATATCAGTAGAATCTCTGCTCAGCATAAAAATATGTAAATGCTCAGAAGCAATAAGAAAATAAATATTTATCTGTATCTGCACGTTCATCAGCATCATCTGGTAGTTCTGTATTACTGAGCTTTCCAAAACTCACTTTATTACTCACCTTTTCAGGTTGAAAGAATTGTACCAGTGCATCTATCGACTTCAGTAAGGGTTCGTCCGGCGTTGTTGCAGAGTAGGGTACATATGATTAGGGGGCATGTAATTGTATTTTGATTTATATACGAGTCTGGAAATATGTTTTATTTTTAAATAGTGAAAACTGATTTTATAAGTTACACGTTTCAATAAAAGTTTTAAATTTTTCGCTATTTTTACAGTGGGTCGCTCCGATGGCCCTAATGTGACTTCCCGGATCGGATCGGTATACCCTCATTGGTCTGGGGGTTACAAAGATCATGTTCAGTTTCAAATTAAATTTTTTCAAAACCCAGATTCAATGGATCAAAAAATCAACTCACCTCAATTCATGATCATTCCTAAATTTGATAGATTAAACTAAAATTGTTTAATTTTCGTTCTTACTTCAACGGGATTTATTTAAAAAGAAGAGTTAATTGCATCATATGTACCCAAACTATAATCCTCACTTTAAATTAGTCTTTAAAATTTTTGAATATTCTAATTTCATCTCCAAAATATAATTCTCATTTTAAATTATTTCTTAAACTTTTGAACATTCTAATTTCATCCCTAAACTATGACCCTCTTTCTAAATCGGTCCCCAAATTTTTGAATCTTCCAATTTCATCTCCAAATTCATCCAAATATGTAATTATAATTTAACCTAAATTTTGTTTTTTTTTTCAAACGTATAATAATATAACTAGGTCTAACAATTTTATTAACAAGGGATGTGGTTAGTACATATGTATAGTTTGAGACAAAATTGGAATGTTAAAAAAAGTTTGGGCACCAATTTAAAATGAAGTTCATAGTTTGAGGATAAAATTGAAATGTTCAAAAGTTTGGAGACTAATTTAGAATAATAGCATAGTTTAGGTATTAATTGAAACATTTAAAAATTTAAGGATTAATTTAAAATGAGACTTATAATTTTAGGACATGTGATGCAATGAACTCTAAAAATGAAATAAATAGTCTTAAATCATTAGGACTTGAACCACATATTAATCAAAACACCCCCCCCAAAAAAAACTATGGGCAAATCCATGTTATTATATTCACGTTTTAACCAAAAACTTTTAAATTCCCACTGCTTAATCATAATTTAAAAGTCAAAAACTAATAAAATTTTCAATTTTTTTATTGCAAACATAACCCCTAGATCCTAGCCGTGATGGTAATAAATAATAAAATTATCCCCACATGGAGACAGCAAACTCCAAATTTACTTTATAGATCGCTCCCTCTGTACTTAAAGGATTTTCAAAACTAACCTCATTGGAACAAGAGATCTTCTCCATTTTCTGTGGTAGAATTTAGTGATAGAGTTTAAAGGATTAACTTAAAATTTTAAAAATTTCAGAGATTTATAGTAAAATTTTCAAAATTTTCAAAAATTTGAGAGGCTTAATGAGAATTTTTAAAAATTATGGAAGGGGTTTAATTAAGAACATTAAAAAAATTCAAAGTTTAATATGAATTTCTAAAAAATTTATGGGAGGACAAATTAAATATTTTGAAATTTAAAACTCCAAAATATATATTTTCAAATTTTTAGGGTGCATTGGCCCCCACTAATCTTCATTGTGTTTCGCCGTTACGCATTCTACTCCTTTACGTATTCGAATTCAAATTCAAATTTTACATTAATTATATATATCCAACACATTATCATCTCTATTAATAATCTTATTATATTTATCTAATATTGATAATAAATAAATACAAGTGCATGCATAAGATCTAAAAATTCCTAAATAGAAAATGGTGCCACCAAAATTTAAAGTTGATTATTTAGTTCATAGTACAGCTTTGCCCCATCATTTAGAGGTATACAATTTCTACTAGATTCACTGCTTCCATTCCATGAAAAAGAACAAAAATAATTGATTTTTTTTTCATTTAGTTATTTGGAATTGGAAAGGTTCAGAGCCCCTGGCTCTACACCTTTTTCTCATCAATAGTACAAAATCATATGTATTCCCCCAGCAATAAACATAGGAGCAAGTTGTGCCATAATTTACCATCAAAATCATTATATATATACACTATCCATTTTTAATTCAAACCTCTGGAATTTTTATAGTTTTTAGTTATTCCTGAAGTCTATTACTAAATTTCATCACTGCTTAATATTAAATTTTGTATCAATTCCTGAATGACACTATCTATCTATAAAAGAAAAGTTCGAATTGAACTAAACCCATTAATAATAAATTATTTTTATATTTACATAGAAGTTATTTTTTATTTTAATGAAAGAAAAAAAAAGAAAAAAAAAGATGGCACAGGGCATAAATGAAGAAACCCAACAAGGATGGATCTAGAGTGATAGGTAGAACAGTCGTAATTTTTTAAAATTTTAAATTTTTATATATTTTAAATATTTTTTATTAAAAATATATTTTAATCCCTAAATTTTATAAATTTTTTATTAATTAAAATTTTATAAATTCACCATTAACAAAAAAAAATCTTGTGTCCGTATTTGTACATAAACGCAATTCCTAGGACTTTCGGAAGTTGATGGGAGCAAAAGTGACGGCCACCAAATGCGACAAATCCTCGTTTCCGTAGGTAAAAGTGGTCAAAATGATTCCGTGGGTCAACTTGCTTCAAAATAAATTAATAATATTCTTGGTGGACTAAAATTTATAAATATATAAAATCGATGATGATATATATATATATTTTGTTATCGGTTGATAAATGAATCGATCGTATATCTATCGATCGAATCGTACATCAATTGATATCAGTATAAAATTCGATTCCCGAATGACTATTGTGGTCCATATCATACGTAGCGTAAGTGTGAGGGATCAAGCATGAATTTGCAAACGAAAACACCACCAAAAGCAATACCATAAATGGCATCATTCTCTCCCACGATTTTCCATTTCTTCGTAAAAAAAAACTATTTACATTCTACGTATCGAGTATATGTTTATATCCGTTCCTATTCAAATTCGAATAATCAAATGTATATTTATATCCGATCCAATTTAAATTCGAATCCCGAATGCCGGTAACATACGAGGACTGTATTAATATCTGCAATAACTTTAATCTTTTATCTGGTTTTTTGCACTGTGTATGTAATCTATTTTTATTAGGAGTGTTGTGTTTTAGAGAATTCTAACAAAAACTATATATTCGATCATTAAAACGAACACACTAAGCCTGAGAGGAGAGGTAAAATGGGAGCTTTGTATACCATTTCGATCGTAAATGATGTGTCGTGACATGTTGATGCAGTACGCATGGTGAGGCTGAAGCGATTCCGTGACTTAAACTTGGTTGGCCTGCATCAGGACTTTCCGAAGCTCGATGGCGATTTCTTGTAACAGCATTGGTTTTCGAATGACTCCGTTGATTCCGATCTGTGAACATTTTTCCCATATATCTTCTTCGGCGCTAGCAGTCATGGCAACAATCAAAGGCCAATTACGACTTCGGAATTTCCGGATTCTCATTGCAACTTCGTATCCATCTAACTCTGGCATCTGAAGCTCCAAAAAGACGATTTGGAATGGAGATGAGGCTGGTCTGATAGAACCGAGGCAATCAAATCCGGATGACACAGCAGACACACTGCATCCCAACTTCTCGAGAAGTTTTCGAGTCACAGCACGGTTCACATCGTCGTCATCAGCAAGTAAGACTTGCAAGCCCTTGAAAAGAGAGTCAGAGCACGGCTGGTCCGAAGATTCTCCAGACTCGTTTATCGTTATACTGATGGATGGTCGGACCTGAAACCGAATAACAAGTGCCATGCCTTGAGCAGAACCTCGAGGATTTTGTACCACCCAGATGTTCCCATGCATGAGCTGCACGTTTGTTCGAAATCACAAAAAATAAATTAATCAGGAAGTAATATAAAAAAAGGGGGAGAAAGATTATTATAACAGCAGCATAGCATCATTCGTAAATTTTCGGTTTGCTCTGATCGATTGTAGAAACAATTAACACCTCTAGCCTGGCAACTTCTTATAAGAACGATCAACTCCATAAAATGTTCTAAACGAAATTCAACCTCGGTTTCAGAATGGATCTAAGTATCGAAAGCCTTAGCATTACATAGCACAACAAGTATAACATAACATAACAAACATACGATAATCTAATGATAGACAGATGCAGACTCGGCAAACAAATAATTTAGCATTCTTACCTGCACTAGCTTTTGGCAAATGCTGAAGCTCAACCGTTCCTCAGCTCTATGGTTGTTATATTTTCTCCCACTGATCTGTACCTCCGAAATCAAGCTTCCCTCCGACTGAGAGTTGCAATTGTCAATCCTAATCTCGAACCTGATATGTACATCTCCATCCAAAGAGCTGCTCCTCCATGCAGCCCGTCTCTGATCATTCCATTCCTGACTACCATTGTCGGAGACCACCCGAAGCACTACAGTTCCGCCTTCACTGTTGCCATCTAATAGACTCCCAACCATATGCAGTATCAACTGAAAAACTCTCCTATCATCACCATAAACAAGATCGGGCAATGATTTATCAACCTCAATTGAAAAACCGAAACCCCTATAAACAGACAAGCACTTGGCGAGACAAGCGGCTTCTTTTATCATGGAATGTAATCGAAGAGATCTTTTCACCAATGGGGATCTTCCACTATCCATTGTTGAAATATCCATCACATCGTTTATCAAGGTTGATAGCACATTACTGGTTTTCATCATTGAATCAACGATAATTCGTTGATCATTATTCAGATTTCCATCCTGCATCATCGAAAGCAAACCTAAAATCGAGTGCATTGGCCTCCTCATTCCATCACTCATTACCTTTTGGAATGCATTCCTAACTTGGCTTGCCCTCATGGCATTCTGCCGTGCCAGCTGCAATGCTCGGTTTTGCTCAACCAATTGGTCCCTCATGTGTTGAGACTCTTCAAGAACAGCAGCATGAGAGAGCGCCACAGCCACCTGATCTGCAACGACCTTAACTATCTCTAGTTCCTGGTTGCTCCAAGATCTATTTTGTTCACTCGGAAGGACACAAACCAATATCGCATAGCACGTCTGAACTAGCTCGGGAGTTCCCCCTTTAAAATTGGATACTCGAAGCATTGGCATCCGAATAGCAGCCACAGGTCCTGGCTCACCAGACTCTCCATTGCTTGCAGTCGCAAGAGCCGAGTCAGAATCAAGAATGTTCACTCCATCACTTCCTTTAATCTTCACGACATCTGGATCGGAAATCGGAATGGTAAAATTATATGAATAGTTCCTCCCTTTAAGTTCATGAGTCAGATTCATCTCGGTCTTGATCTCATTAGGCATCCATACAGCACAATTTTGCAAACCTAATGTCTTGGACAACTCCACCATTGTCGTGTACAAAATGGTGTGCCTATCCAACGATTTACGGATTTCTTGAGTTAGCATACGGACGTCGGCACCAGTCTCCTTCTGTTTCATTATAAGACCGACTTCTCGCCCGAGATCCCAAGCCTTTTTCTTCAGCATAAGCTCCCTCACCTTGACCTTGAGAAGCAACGGAATGAGCGTAATAAGCGTAATAGCGGTTGCACACGAGACCAGCGCGGTGAGAATCTTGAACACGGTTAGAGCCAACATGAGTTGAAAGGGATGGGGACCATAGGTCCAGCCATTGAGCAAATGTGTCAATCCACAGAGCACGATGAAAGCAATGAACTCAAAGAGCACCCATTTGAATGGCACATTTGAACAGCTAACAAAGTAAAGCAGTTCGATCGGGATCGAGAAATACGCCACGGCAATCAAGAAATCACCCACTCTTTGAGTCTCTAAAATGCTCTCGATGCTCCAAAAACTCCCCTCGTCGTCGCAATTACACCTCGGAAAGCCGTCATCGGCTGCCGACACCGATATCAGAAGCGAAGAAATCAACAACCCGGGAGCTAATGCCTTTAACATTGCATCCAAATCAACTGCTTCCACCAGTTCATTCAAACCATTCATTGATACAAATTCCCAGTTTTTTCGAAACATTTCTCGCCTCTATGGGAAACACAGCTCCCTCGAGCTACAACATTATAAGCCCAAACTTCAGTTCCCATTGTCTATAATGGAAACACAACTTAGTACTGTCGAAAAACGTTTATAATAATTTCAAAAAACAGAAAATGGAAGTTTACAGCATTGAATTAAGATCTAACACACTGCACATCCCAGAATTAACAATTTAACATATGAATTATCCAAACCTCAAATTTCATATTTTATTATTAGTTTTATATCATATGAATGATCAAATAGTACAGCATTAAACAGAAACACGACATTTTCTCGGAGCAGCCCCCACTCAGAAAACAAATCCCAGAAACCCAATAAAACAACAAACATGAAAAGCAAAACAGCCCATTTGGTCTGATAAATCCCAGAAATACAGGCTGAAAAGCAAGCCCAAAAACGAACCGAAAAGAAGAGGAAAAAAAACCAGAAACTTACCAGAAACCAGATGAAAGGCAGTAAAAAGAAACCACCTTCAGATCTTTTGATTTTTTATGTCATGCAAAGCAAAAAAAAACACACTTTGATAACTCTCCAACGCTTAATTATTATTAAACGTTACAAATTCGAAGAACCCAACACACAAAAAAGGAAAAGAAATGTATATATATATATAATTCGAAAGCTTTTCAAACAACAACACCAAAGACTAGAAGAATCAAGAGAAACAACATTGTTTTAGAGTTGTGTGTGTGTCTGGAATTGGTTTGGTTCCTCCTTCAAAGATTTTTCCTAAACAAGCAGCCCCTTGGTTTTATAAGGAAAAAAAAGAAGAGAGAGAAAGGAGGAGAGGAGGAAGAATACGAAGAGAGAGAAACATAGGGGACCCACTTTCTTACATGAAGAGAACTTAGACGCCCTTTTGAACGGAAACGTCCTACTCATACCCAAAAATATTTGTTTTATTTTCCTTTCCTTTTATTTATTTTGTTTATTATTTTTAGGGTAAATTACATATTTGGTGCCAAACTATCAATTTTGATCCGTTTTATTATCTAAACTTTCAAATTTTTAAAAATCTAAAGTTTAGTTTTTGTTTCATTTTAGTACTTCATCGTTAAGTTTTGAAAAAAATGAAAGTCTAGGTACCAAAACACGTTTAGTACCTAAATCATACTTAAGTTTTGAAAAATTTTAAAAATTTAGGTACTAAAATGAATCAAAATAGACAGTTTAGGTACTAAACACATTAAGTTTTTAATGACGGGGCATTAAAATAAAATAAAAAGTAAACTTTAGATATGATTTTGAAAAAATTAAAAGTTTAGGTATTAAAATAGACCAAAACTAATAGTTTAGGTATTAGAAGCGTAATTTATCCTTATTTTTAAGGGTAACATATACTATTAGTATCTTAACTACTATTTTTCTTATGCTTTTGTACCAAAATTTTATTTTTTAAAATTATACATAACATTTAGTTTATGTTTTATTTTTGGTATCATGTCGTTAAAAACTTAATGATGATATTAACATGTCACTATAAAGTAATGTCACGTCATCATTAAAAAAATAATAAAAATGTCATATCGGCAGTTCTGTTAATTTTTTAATAGTGGAGTACCAAATTAAAACCAAAATTGAAGGTTAAGTACGGTTTTGAAAAAATAAAGTTTGGGTACCAAAATGAAACAAAAGTAATAATTTAGATATTAAACGTGTAGTTTACCCTATTTTTAAAACGGGTAAACTTTACACATGGTCATTTAATTATGAGTTTGGTACACATATGTCACTTAGTTAAAATATTATTATAAATAAGTCACTTTGTTGTTAAATATTAGATAAAATAGTGATGTGCCCTAGTATGATGACAATTTTAGTCTTTAAAATTTGTTAATTTGGTCCTAATTTAAATAATTCAAAATGTCACCCTTTGTATTAAAAAATTTATCATTTTAGTTTTTATTCTTCCCCTAAATTACTCCTTTAAATATTATATTAATTTTCCAGTGTAATAATAATTTAACAAATACTTGTTGTTTTATGGGAAAATGTAGTTATCCAACTAGTACTTTAATCCAATGAACTTACTTGGTTTAATAGATCACAAAAAAAACAAATTGATGAAAATTTTAAACATAAATAGTTAAATTTATTTAATTACTTTAAATCATTACAAAAAAAATAGAACATATAAGTTTTAAGAGTAAAAATATTACTGTATCACAATACATTAGACGTTCGTTTTAGATTTAACTATGGGTGATCTATTTGTAAAAATATTTTAATTTGGTGACCTATTTGTAATTTTTAGAAAAGAAATAGTATATTTGATATCAAATCCATAGTTAAGTGACCTAGGAGTGTAATTTTCTCTTATAATTATTTTCTTTTATCATATTGTTGAAATCAAATCTAATCTATGCAGTCTTTATATATATATATATAAAAGAATATATATTTTATTTTACTTTTATTTTTTTTAATTAAATTGGACTTTTGTTGCCACGATAGCCTGCGTTTCATTTTCATTATAAGGCGCGTGCGGTAACAGTCATCTATTTTTTCTAGAGGATAAATTATACGTTTAGTACCTAAATTATCAGTTTTGGTCCGTTTTTAGTACTTAAACTTTTAGTTTTTTCAAAATCATACCTAACATTTAGCTTTTGTTTCATTTTAATATCTCGTCATTAAAAACTTAACGTGTTTAGTACCTAAATTGTCAATTTTAATACCTAAACTTTCTTTTTTTTTAAACTTGAGTATGGTTTAGATACTAAACGTGTTTTGATATTTATACTTTCAATTTTTTCAATACATAAGTTTTTTTTACTAAAAATAAATAAAAACTAAACTTTATGTAAAATTTAAAAAAAATGAAAGTGTAGATACTAAAATGAATCAAAACTAATAATTTAGATATTAAATACGTAGTTTACCCTTTTCTAAATTGCCAACATGCTTCAAATACATAATTACCATGTAGCGTATATTCTTACATATATTTTCGGGAATAAGGAAACGGGGTGGTTAACACGCGCCTATAAAGGAGTTGTGATTGACATTTGCCTTAAGAATTTATTGTTTACGAAATTTAATTAAATTGCTAATATCTGCTGCCGTTTTCATGACCAAAATGAAAGCGAATGGATAATTTTGCAATAATGTCAAAATGCCCCTTGGAAACTCACATTATAAATATGATATTTCTATTGGGAAAATTCTACATTATACGTCGCATATCGAACACATCACTAATTAAAATATCTTAATTAAAATATCTTAATTAAATAAAAATTTAAAGGGTAAACTACATGCTTAGTATTTAAATTATCATTTTTGTTTCATTTTAGTTCCTACATAATTTAACGCACTGTCATTAAAAATTTAATGGCATTACTGATGTGGCATGGCATGTCAATTTTTAAAAAAAAGTTTTCACATCACCTTTTTTCGATAATATTTTTTAATTAATTTTATTCATTCAATTAGGTGGTGACCTATGAGGATAAAATGAAAGAAATCATTCTTGCTTCCACGTGAATTGAACTTAGGACACATATATACGATAAATGCACTTAACCATTAAGCTAAGCTTGTCTTTTAGGTTAATTTCACCATATTGCGTATTTAACTTATATAGCGATATCACCACAAAATAAATATTTTTCAATGATTATAAGATTCGAACATAAGACACTTTAAATTAATGACCGAAAGCTTAGTCACTCAATTATAATATGATTTTTTTTATTATATTGAATTTAATACTTACTTATATTAATATTAAATTAAAAGACAAATCATTTATTAATTATTTAAAATTAAATAATTAACAAAATCTATTAATTTAATAATGACATAAGTAAGTGTTAACTTCATTATAATAAAAAATTAAATAAATATTTTAAAATATTATAAATATAATTTTTTAGAGTGATTTAATTTAAATTTTATAAAAATATATAAATTATTTAATTACTTTTTTCTAAATAAAGTGAAAATTGGTCTTTCAATTTAATAATGATATAAGTAAGTGTTAAGTTCAGTATAATGAAAAAAGATTCACACTATAGTAGAGTGACTAAACTTTCGGTCATTAATTTAAAGTGCTCATATTCGAATCTTACAATCATCGGAAAATATTAATTTTTTGGTGATACCTTATATAAGTTAAAAACAAAATATGGTGAAATTAACCAAAATGACTAACTAAGCTCAATGGTTAAATGCAAGTGTTTTAGGTTCAATTAACGTTGGGAGGAAAAATGATTTCTTTCATTTTTATCATCATAGGTGGTGAAAAATTAATTAAAAAAATACTAATGGAGAAAGAAAAATGTCATATGGAAACTAAAGAAACTGATATGTCATGCCACATCAATATTGTCGTTATTTTTAACGGCAGGGTGTTAAATTAAAATTTAAATTAAACATTAGGTATGGTTTTAAATAAAAATGTTTAAATATTAAAACGAAACAAAAGTGATAATTTAAGTACTAAATATATAGTTTATCATTTTAATATTTACTTAATAAAGACAATTTAATTAAATGCATGTTTCAATTGCATTAGTGGCGTGTTTTGATATTTGACGGATACTGTAAGCTCATTTTTATATTGATATAAAATATGCATAATTTTAAAAAATCTACATTTCACAATTTTATAATATGATATTTTAAACAAACTATCTAAAATTTAGACTTTACAATTTGATCTATTTTAATCCTAAACACTCAAACCTAAAATCTTAAATCATAGACTATGCACTTTGGATAGGAAAAAGAACATTCAAATAAAAAAATTATGAAATTTAAAATTTATACAATCTATATATATAAAGTTATAAAAAACATGTATAAATTTATAAAAGTGACACAAATAAATTGTTCTAGAAATTTACAAATTTAACTGAATATGTCACACATATATAGAAATATCAAAATCTATTTAAAATAAATATATTTTGAGATATATTTGCTCAAGTGTATATACAAATAAATATATATAATGTAAATTAATGTGTTTAATAAACAAAAATAATTTAATTTTAAAAATGTTATATCATTTTATTAAGTAATAACATACTTAATCATAATAAAAAAGGGTAAAGTACACAAATAGTCATTAATATTGGGTATTGCTTTGTTGAGTCCTTCGACTATTTGAAGTTACAAAATGGTCCCTAGATTATAGGACGTTATTTCTGTTGTGTCTCCCTTATATTAAAAGTTATAAAATGGTCACCCGATTATTCATATGTTCCAAACTCATCCTTTCCCATTAAAAATTTATGGTCGTCTTAACTGGTCTTTAACTTTTTGATTGATATATGATAAAATAATATTTTATTAATGTCTATCGACACCGCTATTGCTTTCAAGCACTAACTTGAAGGTATAATGTGTCAAGCATTGGCTCGAAGGTATAGTGTTTCAAGCATTATCTCGATGTTATAATATAAAACAAAGAGTCGATCCAGAAAATGCAACTCAAACGATTCTGAGATTAGATTTTCTCATATCATATTCAACATCCAATTTAGATTGTCGCCATTTTTAAACGTAAAAGGACGAGCTTGGAACATATAAATAGTTATG